CACGCTTCAAGCACCAGGTATGTCTCTCGTATCACTCACAACCTCGTTCCCCAACTCACAGATGCCACTTACACCCAAGGACCACCATGCGCCCCATCCAGCATACAGCAGCGCAGCTCGGCTATGGCTGCCTGCTCCTTCCAGCTCGCCCGTGAGCGCGTGAGCCTGGCAGGCGATAGCGCAGCAGCGCTTGTGCACAAAGCAGCCAGTGCCCAAATTTCCAATGCAGAGGCAGGCCCTTTGCTATATGGAAGTGGCCTGCCTGCTGCTGCGCTGGGCCTTTCCCAAGAAGCTTCCGGTAGGCCCCGGTAGGCTGAGGCCCAGTCCAAACGAATCAGGATCAGGGCCTGCGGTGGTTACTTGTGCCCTACTGCCCTCGGCCTGTGTTTGGCCCATATCCCGTATCCAGCCCAGGGCCTACCTTCCATGCATGCAACCAGGAGTCCTGGGCCTGGGTGCTCTCAACGAACTGGTGTTGCACAACTGCCTGAATTTTCCTCAGTTGTGTGATGTCCTCAGGCCCTCGTCGAGCCTGCCTTCACTTAGGGCGGCCGACATATTGCATGACAGGGCCGAAAAAAGGGGCTCATCGGGGCCTTGGCCTCTCATTCCCTCCTCCATAACTTCGATAGTCCTCTGAGAAGTTCAGTCTTCGATAATCTGGCGCTTTCCTTTCTGCAGAGACTTCTCGTATTGAGTTACAGCTTGAAAAGCGGTCTGCATGAGTTCCTCTCTGGTAAACCATCGGTCCTCCTTGGGATCACTATGATGCCGGAACCGAACGCGGTACTGCAGCTTTGGTTTTGGTGGACGTCGCCTGCCCGTCGGTCTTGGAGCTGGCAATTCTCTGTGGTCCATGATGTTATCAATGTCCACCTCTCCGTCGATGGTTGGGGGCAGCATTGAGCGACGAGAAGGAAACTGGTCGGTTTCTTTAGAAGGTGCAAGCTGGGAGGCGTGAAAGACGGGATAAGTATGGAGGTGACCTGGGACCCGGATTACATAGGAAGGCCCATCCGGATCAGTCCCAACAATATCTAAGACCTCCCATGGTCCAAAGTACTGAGGCATGAGCTTGCGGGATATACCGTGCTCCTGTCCCAGTTCTGAGGACTTAACCCAAACTCTGTCCCCTACCTGAAATGTAGACGGGCGGCGGTGTTTGCTTTCGGACTCTATCATTGCCGCCTGTGCCTTCTGCATTTGTTCCACTGCCTGCTGCATCTCCTGTTCATATCGATAAGCGAATTCTAATGTACCCGGTGCAGCAGTCGGCTGGTTCTCAGGTAATATAAAATCTAGGGGCAGTCTAGGTTTGAAAGTCAGTAGTAAGCTGTTAGGGCTGACCCCGGTGGCGCTGTGCACAGCGTTGTTATACAGGCTGGTGATGAGAGCAAGCTTCTCATCCCAGTCTACCTGATTGGGCTTGATGTAATGCCGCAACAGGTGTTGGACAGCGCGGTTCAGTTGTTCGGCTTGGCCATTGGCCTCTGGATGATTCCCAAAAGTCATCTGCGACTGCGTTCCCTGTTCGGCAGCGGCAACCTTCCACAACTCACTGGTGAATCTGACATCCCTGTCACTCACGATTGACTTAGGCAGACCAAAATCCCTGACCCAGTTCTCCTTGAATAATCTGATTATGTACTCGGTCTTCGCTGTCTCCGGCATGGCAATTAACCTAGCGTACTTACTAAATCTATCCACGATAACGAAGATGTGTCTAATTCCGCTCTTGTTGGTGACTAGCGTATCCATGAAGTCCATGGACAAGCTCTCACCAGGCCTTTCCGCAATCGGCAGGGGCTTCAGGAGCCCAACAGGAGCCTGAGTACGTGGCTTGTCCCTCCGACAGACCTGACAAGTCTCCACGTACAGCTGAGCATCTCTCATCATCGTGGGCCACCAGAACCGTTGCAACAGATTGGCTGCTGTCTTTTTGTAACCAAAATGGCCGGTGGCATCATGACACTCGCGTAAAAACAAACTACGCAAAGACTCCCCGTTAGGAACACACAAACGTTTATTCCCTGCCTTCTCAAGGAATAGCAAGCCGTTGACCAACTCAAACTCGGCGAAAGTCCTCTTGTCCTTCGCCTCTAGTCTGCGTATGATCTCAGACATGAACTGGTCCTCGAGATTGGCTTCCACCAAAGAGCGAGTTACATTGTCCGCAAGATCGAACTTAGTAATTAGCGCACCTGAGAAGTCAGGCCTACGCGATAAGGCGTCAACAACCTTATTGTATTCTCCTTTGAGATACTGTGGATCAAAATCATACTGCTCGATGACTTCGATCCAACGCTTCAGAGCGTCGGAGAGCACTGGCTGAGCTCTCATCCATCTCAAGGTCTGATAGTCAGTCCTGAGGATGAAGAACCTCCCGAGGAGATAATGTCTCCAGTGGGTCAGTGCCTTATAAACCGCATAGAGTTCCTTCTCATAAGTGGACTTGGCCAACTTCTGAGACGGCATCTTCTTGGACATGTACTCGACTGGCCTCAACTTTGGCCGCTACTGCTGCGCAAGCACGGCACCAATGCCATATTGACTGGCATCCGTGGTTACTACGAACGGCTTATCAAGATCAGGAAGTTTCAAGACCTCGTAGTGCGTCAACGCATGCTTCAGATGTCTGAAAGCAGCCTCGCACTTGTCTGTCCACTCCCATGGGGTGTCAAGGCGGGTCAGGTCAGTCAAAGGGCGGCCACTATGCTATAGTTCTTTACGAAAGTGCGGTAGTAGCCTGTCATCCCTAAGAAAGACCTCATCTCAATCACAGACTGAGGACGCGACCAATCACGAATGCTGGCCACCTTCGCGTCATCAGGCTTCAACCCCTCAGCGCAAATCTCATGACCCAAGTACAAGATACAGCTGCGGCCAAATTCGCACTTCTCCCTGTTAATCTTGAACTTGTGCTGCTGAAGGAGACTGAGGACTTTGTCTAAGTGCGCAACATGCTCCTCGACAGTCCTACTAAAAATAAGCATGTCATCGAGGTACACGATGACAAACTTATCCAAGTAGTCATGAAAGATCCAATTCATAGCGTGCTGAAAGGTGCCAGGGGCATTGCAAAGGCCGAAAGGCATCACCACAAACTCGTACAGACCGTACCTGGTCTGAAATGCGGTTTTGTGTTGATCCTCGGGCCGGATTGCAATCTGATGGTACCCGGACTTCAGATCTATCTTACCGAAGTACCGACACCATTGCACTCTATCTAGCAAATTGCCGATGCGCGGTAGGGGCTCTCGGTTCTGGACAGTGATGGCATTGAGGCCCCTATAGTCAATGCACATCCTCAAAGTGCCCCCCTTCTTTGGTACGAATAAGACTGGAGAACCATAAGGAAAGACACTCGGCCGGATCCACCCCTTCTCTATGAGTTCCTTGAGTTGCTGGGGAAGCTCGTTAAGCTAGCCTGGAGACATCTGATAAATTCTACCCTTCAGGATGCTAGACCCTGGGATAATCTCGAAGGGAGATTATCCCAGGGTAATCTCGAAGGGAGATTATCCCAGGGTCTAGCATCCCGAAGGGTAGAATCTATCGGATGTCTCCCTTCGGGATTATCCCAGGACCCAGAGAGCTCGTCATCCTCGCCTGGAGACATCCGATAGATTCTACCCTTCAGGATGCCAGTCGAACTGGGGTTGTGCCACAAAGAGGTAGTACATACCTAACAACATATCCATGGGGAGATCATCACTTATTAGGAACGAGACTCGATGTCTCAATTCCCCTCCCGCATACGGGAAACAACACTCAACATCCTGGAGGTAGTCGTTGACTACCATGCGCTGTTTGTTGGCACAGGTCGACTCCACAGGTTGACTCAGGCGTTGTACTCGCCCCTGTAAACGCAGCCTCTCAACGCACGCGCGACTAATGAAGTTCCCGGTCGAGCAAGTGTCATAATAGGCCCCGGCCTTGCGGCCGCCAATGGCTACCTCGCTGACGAACATCTCACCCTTAGGGGATTTGACCAATGTCGTCCAAGAAGCTAGCGGGTCTGATCTAGACCACTCCTCTAGCTCCTCTAAGGACTCAAACACATTCATCGAACAGACGCTCGATGGGTCTGAACGTGTTTGCGGAACGACGATCGAGTCGAGATGGTCAGGGTGTGTCCACCACCTCTACCCTAGCAAGAACAACTACTATTCCTACTGGCCCGACGTGTTTCCCGGAGCGGTGCCAGAACTGCTGGCCACATTGCTACCAACGGGAGTGGAGGATCCCAACGCCTGCCCCATCGCAGGGGGGTTCTTCTCTGTCACCTTCTTATTGCGACACTTGAATTGGTTGTGGCCATATTGACCACAACGAATACAGGTCTGTCGGGTGTACCTGTCTCTCCACACGTCCTCTGTGAGACCCGCTTTCTCCCATGGAGGAGCCTTGGGGTCAACTTGACTCCTTGACCGGGAACCTCCTCGGCGTCTACAGGTCGTCACCTTTCCTTTTCGAGCTACGGCATCTACTCCACCCCCCGAAGCCTCTACGCTGGCAGCCTCTGAAACTACTCCCTCCTGAAAGTTGTCATCTAACTCGATGATTAAACCATCGTTATCAACAAACATAATGCGACCCTTCACCTTCCAGTTGGGAGGCAGTGTCTTTTTCCTACTATTCGTCGTGGGTGTTTGACCATGCGCTATCTTTGCTTCTAGGTCTAGGGCCTTCTTGCTAAACGAAGGGAAGTTATGCATGTTGATGTTGGCCTCACCTGCCACCTGATTCCTGAGAGGCATTGGAAAGCATCTCAGGTAGGAGGTGAGTAATACCTAGGGGACATAGCGCACCCCAGGGACACAGATCAGACGCTCTACTGCGTCAGTGGCTTCCCTTACTGACTTAAACTACCTTGTATGCAGCGCCAGGATCACATCAGTGGCCTTTTGGGCCTCCTGAGGATCATGCCACCTATCTTCCACCATCTTGAGAAAGTCCTTCAGTTTCTGGTGGGCTGCCCAAGCGCGGAAGTCATGATCGTATCCCTACAACTGCACTAAACCACTCAACCATCTTGCTGCACTACCCTCTAGGTAGGAGGCAGCCACACACACTTCCTCGTGCGGCAAGGTAAGTTTGCACTTGACATAGACCGGCATTGCCCTCAACCAAGTGTCGAGGTTTTCGCCTCTCTTATCCCCTATGAAGGGTTTAGGAGCGGCGATGGCCGTCTTTGGTACCCACTGACTTTGTCCCGGTCCCTGCATCACTCTGGGTTGTGAGCCCTGTGGTGCAGGCTGCTGCACTGACTGTTGGGGTTGTGTACCCTGCGGCTGTGCAGGCTGCGAGACATCAGGCTCCCCAGTTACGACATCGTGCAACGGAGGTTGGGAATACACTAACTGTACAGGAACCTGGAGACTAGGACCTGCTGAGAACCCGCCTGTTAAAGGCATACCCAGGGAGACAGGCTGAACCGATGCTGGAGCGTTATATGGGGATACCCCAGTCACCGGTGGAACAAAAGGAGGAGGATGTACAATGGGCCAGACACCAGGCCCGGACAGTGATGGTGCCGCCTGCGCTCGTCCGACCAAGACGGCCAGACTTTGTTGGATGTCCTGTAAGATTGTCGTCTACTGGTCTTGCATCTCTACTACATCTAACAAGACCGACCTCAGGGTCCTCTCCTGATCATCCGACTCCTCTGGGTCCATCTCGTATAACTCACTAATGTCCGCTTGTCGCCGCTGCAGCCTGGCTCTTCTCCTAATCATTCTTTCTTTTTTTGCCTTAATCTCTCCTAAAGCCTTTTGTATTTGTCCCTCGCTATCAACAGCTCGCTGTATGGCGACCTCCCCGGGAGTCATCACTAACGGCTGGCTCGCCATGACGCCAGTGGACTGACTCAGAGTTTGTGCGACCGTTCACCCTACAGACTCTGAACCACCAGCTTGGGAACTCTGTTGCACAGCAGTTGCCATGGCTGCTGAAACAGCGGCTTCGCTTGCAAATGCCCTGCTGGCCTCTGCTACCGTAGCTCTCCTCTGCTGCTGCTGCCTCTCTCTAAGCTGGCGGGACAGAAATCTGTCACCCTCTGGTCGTAAGGCCACGTGGGCAATCGGGCGTCTAGCCGATCGCAAGATCCGGTCGTCCGGTTGTGGAACCTCCATGTCACTCATATGCTACAAAACTGCACACCATCTGCACTAGGACACACGACTGATGCGTACCACAGCGACATGTACAGACCGATTTATAATCAAATAAAATAACTAATTGGCGGCTATGTCAGAGACTATACATTCGGGTCCAACAGGTAAGTTCAGATTCCTACAAACAAAACTATTCTACTTTGACTAGTCCGCAAACCGAAGCACAAAGAACAGGACACAGTTCTAACTAATGGTGTCTGTCAGATGTCAATGGCTGTCCATCTAACTAATCAAAATAAAAATAGAATCCTTTGTTGGGTCTGTTTGCAGAATGGAATCTTGCCCAAACTTATCACCTGGAATCTATCCCTCCCTCAATTCTTTTTGAATGTCTCTTGTCGTCAACGTCCCTGAGCAATCCAGATAGCGTGCGTGTCTGAAGGTGTGCACACGGCCCACCCCTGTGCCCCGAGTCCTGCTGAGCTGGCCAGCGCTAGCACATTGTTGATCCTCGCGTGCAGCGAGCCATACACCGATTGGCTAATCAAGAGGCTATTTAAGGACCACCCCCAAGTGTCCTCAGGAATTATTTAACGTTGCAAACAGGACGACGATCACAGCCAATGGTTTCCCCTGCCGGTGTTTATTTATAGACGCCCGGTACTCGTCTCCCACATAGGGCTGGCCTGCCCTTCAGAACCCATCTAACAGCGCAGCGAGCCGAACAAAGGACAAGCAGCAAAGCATGCGTGCTCTACTCCCGGTGGGTTGGCATGGTGACCGTTACCCAGTGCTTCGTCCAGGGCCCTTCAGATAGCACCGCCCTCTCCTGCCAGATGCTCCACGTGAAGGCTGATGACTCTCAAGGTTGAGCGCACACGACTCCTCACATGAGAGGACTCTCAAGACAGAACACATCCTCACGGTAAGAAGTGTTGAAGAGGGTAGATAAGGTTAGGTGCAACGTACCTCAAAATAGCTGCCCCCAACCACAGATATTCTCACCAGATGACCCGATGTTGATTGTATGACCAATCGCTGCTTCGGCACAACCAGCATTGCACAACCGTTCCTGGGTCGCCACTTATCTTCGCCCTCCTCACTACACACGTCCCACTGCACGATCGCTCACCGTACACACCACGTGCATGTACCGCATTAGGCAGAAGATAAGCGCCAGATTAGCGCACCGAACCACAGCTCCGATACCAAATTGCAAGGAAGATGAGCAATAGCGAACTTCGGCAATCAAACAGCATCATACACATGAGACCAGATAGTCATGACCTTGAACCAAAAGCAGAACTGCATCACGAGTTTCACCAAATAAGAACACACCAAAAGCTCATAATTGACAATGCTGGAATAGTCTCATCATTATCATCAACAAAGAACCAATGTTGATATGCTATCTGGCGCTCGGCGCCCAGACTACAGATGGCAGATCCTATCTAGCCTACTCTACAATGCCGATGATGACGTCAACAGCTCCCCGAAGTACGAGCAGATCTCGGCCAATGCCTCACGCTTCAAGCACCAGGTATGTCTCTCGTATCACTCACAACCTCGTTCCCCAACTCACAGATGCCACTTACACCCAAGGACCACCATGCGCCCCATCCAGCATACAGCAGCGCAGCTCGGCTATGGCTGCCTGCTCCTTCCAGCTCGCACGTGAGCGCGTGAGCCTGGCAGGCGATAGCGCAGCAGCGCTTGCGCACAAAGCAGCCAGTGCCCAAATTTCCAATGTGGAGGCAGGCCCTTTGCTATATGGGCCTGCCTGCTGCTGCGCTGGGCCTTTCCCAAGAAGCTTCCGGTAGGCCCCGGTAGGCTGAGGCCCAGTCCAAACGAATCAGGACCATCCCGTATCCAGCCAAGGGCCTACCTTCCATGCATGCAACCAGGAGTCCTGGGCCTGGGTGCTCTCAACGAACTGGCGTTGCGCAACTGCCTGAATTTTCCTCAGTTGCGTGATGTCCGAAATAGGGGTCCTCAGTCCCTCGTCGAGCCTGCCTTCACTTAGGGCGGCCGTCGTATTGCATGACAGTGCTGAAAAAAGGGGCTCATTGGGGCCTTGGCCTCGCACGTGGCCAAGAGAGCATGAATCTGTTGTCCCCAAACCGAAACGAAAAGGAGCCATACAAAAATTGTGCTTCTAACCTGATCCCACCTCCAACCAAGTGCTGCACTGTCCAGGGAAGAGTTAATCCCCAAACCTTCTACTACAGCGCATTTATACACCCTCGTTTGGGGGAAGATGGTAATGATACGGTGATCTGTAGATGGAAGTGTACTTCTTCCAGGCTGCACTTAGGCTGTCAACCTTCCATTAACAGTGTTTTGTGGACCAATGATCCATTGCTAATGAGAATTTTAGAAAGAAGAACACTGTTAATGGCACCATCCAACCAAAATGAAAGTTACAAACAACTGAGGAAACCAGGTCCCTCTAAAACAATCTTGTACACTTCCTAACACTCCTTTAGTGAGGATACTGTAAAGAAAGAGGGTGCATGCGTGTGGGTGCGCAAATCAGAGAGAGAGAGAGAGAGAGAGAGAGAGAGAGAGAGAGAGAGAGAGAGAGAGAGAGAGAGA